TGGCATGTGGTGCTGGGGGATTGAACCGCGGTCCCTGTGCTTTGCTAAGCTTGTTCTAAGTAGGTGCTTTAGACCACTGAGCCATCTCACCAGCCCACCACTTCTGTTCTTGACAGAGCTGTTCTTGACCTCTGATCAATTCAGCCATCTGGCCTTCCTCAAAACCCCTCTCCTCGCCCTCCTTCCACTTTCTCGGCTAAGAGACCTTGGGAGCGAGCCCTGCCTCACGCACTGCGCCGCCGACTCTCGTCCAGGTTCCACACCCTGGCTGACCTGCACACTGTGCGGCTGGACCGGGAGGGGATCACCATGATCAGGAACCTAGAGGGCCTCCAGAACATTCACAGCCTCTACCTGCAAGAGGTAACTTTGGGCCCCTCATCCTTCTTCTACAAGTCTGTCTAACCTGAAGGCACTGGGATCAGGATCGGCGTGTTCTCTTTCGTTCCTGCACGAATTTAAGCCACTCCCAGGTGAATGGGCATGGTGGTGCACACACGGAATCCGAGCGTTCTGGATTCCATGAGCAATCTATAAAGACTGGGGGGCCGAGGATATGGCTCAGTAGGCTAAGCGCTTGACTGACAAACGCAAGGATCTGAGTTCAATCCCCTTAGACTGATTCTAAGTTCAATCCAGCCAAGACACTTTAGCAACTTAGTGAGATCATGTCTCAAAATAAAAAGTTCTGGAGATGTAGCTTAGGTCAAAGACCCTGGGTTTAGTCCCTGGTCTTGAAAGAAAAAAAGTGACTCTGAAAGCCCTCTTGGATGGCGGTTCTTTAGTTGGACACTTCTCCTGGTCTAGAAATTCTTCTTGGCTTCTACTCTAAACTCTTCAAGCTGCACCACTCAAGCCCACTTTCTGTTCTGAAGAAGAGGAAGAGCAATCTATAAAGACTGGGGGGCCGGGGAGATGGCTCAGTAGGATAAGCGCTTGACTGACAAACGCAAGGATCTGAGTTCAATCCCCAGTTCCACAAAAAAAAAAAAAAAAATCTATAAAGACTGCTCTACAGCATTCAGGTTGTTGAAGGCGATCTGGCGGTCGTGGCTGGGTGACCCTCAGCCTTCCTCGGGCTCTGTAGACTTTGCCACAGAGAAGATGCAGATGTAGATACAGATGATCTACCTACCTATCTGTACACACACACACACACACACACACACACACACACATTATTTTTTGTCTTTTTGAGACAGGATTTCACTGTGTGGCCCAGGCTGGCTTTGAACTAGAAGCAACCCTCCTGCCTCAGCCTCCAGAGTGCTGGGATATAGGCATGCAGTGACTATATCCCAGCACTGACTCCTAAAGAAATGTCACAAATCAGATGAATATACGCTCATTGTCCCCTCTGGATAGGAAAGCCACCTAGCAGCCCTGGTTTCTACCTGCTTCTCAGGTCCCTTGTTGGTTGTGTGCTTTAATCCACTTTAGTCAACTCCAAGTTTATACCTTTATCCACCCACCTGGAGAAAGCCACTGTTAAGCCACTGTTCTTCCCTGAGCTAAGGACTACTCAAGGCAGTCAGGAATGGGTGGTCAACCCCAAAGTGTACCATCTCCACGGGATCCGTGGATGGGGTGTTGGGGCTATGTCCCCTGAAGGCCCCCACCAGCTGACCTCGTGGCTTCCCTGCCTCGGTCTCTTCTTGCAGAACAAAATCCAGCGGATCCAGAACCTGGCTTGTATCCCCTCCTTGCGGTAGGTGGGACTGGGCTTCCTGCAGGAGGAGGAAGGAGTGGGCACAGGCAACACCCCAGGAGCTGGCTCCAAGCCGCCCCAGCCCTGCTCTTTCAGCTGCATGCCCCGGAGTCTCTTCTGCTTTCCTAACTCCAAGTCAGGGTCCCTGCATGTCTCCCAGGTGCCTGGTGCCGGCTCCCCACCCCTCCCCACTCCTTCAGCTGTCCTGTGCTCAGCTCTCTCTCCATCCCCTTCTTCCCTGCAGCTTCCTGTCCTTGGCAGGAAACCACATCAGGCAGGTGGAAAACCTCCTCACCCTCCCATACCTCCAGTTTCTGGATCTTTCTGAGAACCTGATAGATTCACTGATGCTGGGTAGGAGTAGCTTGGTCACCTTCCTCTGGGGTCATACAAGATGTCCCCAAGGGAGGTCCCCTCGGCCCCTCTCCCTATGCTGGTGTCTCCCACACCCTGCTCGTGCTCAATTCATGTTGGGGTAGAGTGGGTGTGGTGCCTCACCGCCTCTGTCTGTCTCTCTCTCTCCCTCTGTCACTCTCTTCTCTCTCTCTCTCTCTCTCTCTCTCTCTCTCTCTCTCTCTCTCTCTCTCTGTCCCATAAAGATGAGCTTCCTCAGAGCCTGCTCATCCTCAACCTCACTGGAAACAAATGCACCACCCGGAAGGGCTACAGGTAAGGAGGTACTGAGGGCAGGTAAGAGGTGTTGCCCAAGGCCTGGTGTGGTGGCGCGCTGGTCATCCCAGCGCTCAGGAGGATGAGTCAGGAGGGTTGCTGCGAATCTGAGGCCAGCCTGGGCTCCATAGTGAGTTCAAGGCCAGCCTTGACTATATATTGAGGCTCTGTCTCAGAAAAGGTACTGGGTGGCTCCCTGAGCCTGCAAACTCAGCACTGTGCAGGGCTCCTTCTCTTCTGCCCCTGTGGAGCAAGCTGCCCCTCCCACCCCATTCCCCCACGGCTCACGGCCACCCCTGCTGCTCCCACTGAGCCCAGCCTGCCTCAGTCTGCACTTGGAGTCCGGAGCTGCCACCCTCCAGCCACATCCTCCCAGGCTCCCTGCCTTGGCTTCCTCCCGGCAACCTCTGCTCCCCCTCTCTGCAGGGAGATGGTGATAGCGGCGCTGCCCCTACTTCTGGACCTGGACAAGCAGCCCGTGGCCGAGCGCTGGACCTCGGACGAAGAGGACCAGGCCTCGGAGGGCGAGGATGAGCTCCCGGAGCTGAGTGGGCCCTTCTGCTCAGAGCGAGGTGACTCCACTTCCCAAAGTCGCAGCTTCTTCAGAGCCTGCCTGCTCTGTGGGGCTGGGAGCAATGGCGGTGGCCTCCGGGAAGTGGGCACAAGGCCAGGCAGCCTAGGGGTGTCCCTGGGCATCCAGGGGGCACACAAGATCCACCCCTCTAGGGATGACGCGAAGTCAGTCAGGGCCTTCCCTGAGCCACCTGCCACCCTGTGCCCCCATAGGCTTCTTTAGGGAGCTGTCCCAGGAGCTGAGTGGGCACCAGGCCCGCCGGCAGCAGGCAGCCCTGACGGAGCACCTTCTGCGGATGGAGATGCAGCCTGGTATCACTGAGCTGTCTCCTGCCACCATGGCTGGGGACAGCAGCCCTTCTGTCACTCCGGAGCATGGAGGGGAGCCAAGACCTGCCCCCGTGCCCCAGGCTTCATCTCCCACCACCAAACCAAATGTGCAGGCTCTCAGTGTCCAGGCCAGGAAGGGAACCCAAGCCACCCTTACTCTGGGGACCTCTGTGGTCAGGGTCCCCAGCACGAACAAAACAACAACCAAGAGAGCCAAGAATTGAAACTCGCTGGCTACCCACAGCCCTCACCTGTGCCCAGGGCCCTTCCTCAATAAAATGTCTCTAGGCCAGAAATGCCTTTTGTATCACTTGGGCATCTCAAAGACAGGAACCAGTCCCAGCACCAGGAAGCAGACAGAGTGTGAACCAAGGACAGAATCTTCTGTCCTGATTGTCCCTGAACAATAGCCTGCTGCTGTGAGGCAGGGGCTTTGGTCACAGCATACACACGGGCACACGCAGGGATGTGGTCACTCTGTGTCCTTGCACCCCATCATAACCTTTGTACCTGCAGCCAGCGTGGGGCTGCCCTTTGCCCTGGCTTAGCTCTGTCACCCCCACAGGACCTGGGATCCAGTTCATTGGACCAGAAAATAAAACACATTTATTAAGGCAAAGGCTGGAAGGAATTCTCCTCCTCCCGCAGCAGCTCAGAGGCTGCTGCAGGTGGCTGCCTGCCGACTGCTAGGCATAGGCCTGGCTCTCTCTCTCCACAAAGTCCTGGAAGAGGCTGCCCAGCTGCTGTGGCGGTGGGGTCCCCTCACCGGCGGCCAGCAGTCCCTGCAGGACTGCCAGGCCCTCCCGTTCCAGGTTTCGCTGCCTCTGGTGGAGCTGCTGTCCCCACACCTGCAGAGAGGGTGGCAGGTGTGGGCAGATGTGTTCCCTGTGCCGGAGCAAGACAGCAGGGAACCCAGGTGTGGGCCCAGGCAGCACCCATCCCCTGGGTTACCTTCTCAGCCTCCATCCGCCCCAGGGCCACCTGATGTTCTCTATAGAGTGTATGTCTGCGATCCACCCGAGTCTGGAATCGGGGCAGGATCCGCACAGGGTCTTCAGCTCCAAAAGTGGGGGACAGCACCTGGGGGGCCTGGGCCACCCCCACCCCGAAGATGAAAGGTTTGAACACCGACCTAAGGGTATAGGGATGGAGGAACCTAGGAAGATGGCACCCTGTCGTCGGGCTTGCCTGGGACGTTGTCACCCACTCCCTCGTTCCTCCCACCTGGACGGGTCTGGGGTGGCAGTGAGGAAGTGGACACAGGGCTGCGAGGGGTCCTGGGGCAGCACGGACACCATGCTGGCTGTGGTGCGGAAGCCCCCTGAGTCCATGCAGATGCCACTGTCCTTGTCCCTGAGAATGTCCATCATCGTCTCTGCCGTGATGTCCCCTGCCAAGGAGGACAGGTGAGGCCCTGCGAGGCCAGGGCTAGGGGCCACAGCCCTTCCCTAGCCAACCCCACCAACCTTGCCGTTGCTGCAGCAGCTCACGCCCTGCCCGGAAGCGCGCCTTGGCTGCCTCCATGCGCACGGGCTGCTGGGACAGTGAGAAGACCTGGGCGAAGTCAAAGGAGCCCTGGCCGCCCCACCAGCCCTGGGCCCGGGCGTGGCTCCGAAGCTCCGGGTGTTCTGCTGAGATGTCCGCGCCGATGCTCAGCTGGTTGGAGAGGTTCCGGGCCCCCGCTGTGCAGGAGGGTAGCCCTTCCTTTACAGGGGCACCCGTCTTGTGCCAGGCACTGGGCTGGTGCCTGCTTCTCGCACACAGAGGGAGCTCAGCATTCCCGGGAAGCCCAGGAGCACTTCCCAGAGGAGGTGGCTGGCTGAAGAGCGAAGAGTCCCCGTCTGCCTGCTCATTTCCTGCCTGCCAGCGCTGGGTTGGGGCCCTCCCTCCCCTCGCCCACCTCCTGAGCTGGCATGGGGGGCTGCGCTCCAGGCTCCTCACCCCGGATCCTCTGAGCTGCCCACAGCCTCCCTGCCGTCTCCAGCACCCACGCCTCCGTCCGGTCGGCCAGCAGGAAGGTGTTGTGGTAGCAGAAGGGCGCCGGGTCCTCCCGGCAGCTGCCCCCCTGCCCATAGTGCTGCAGCAGGCCTGTGATCAGCAGCATGGCCTCCTGGGCAGTGCTGCCCCGCTCTAACGCCAGCCTGGCAAAGAGGGCGAGCAGAGGGTAAGGGCTCCATCAGCGCCAGGGGCAGGAGCTCCACTGCAAAGAAGGAGCCCACAAGGCCCGCTGTCCAGCCGCAGCGAGCCCGTGAGGCCAGAGCTTTCAGAGCTGTGCTGGGACGGTCCCTGGGAGAGGCCCACACCCAGCCACAGGGACAGAAGTGTCCTCTGGACAGAAGTGCCCTGAGCCCTGCCGCACCTCAGTCACAGCTGCTCCACTGTCACTGTTATGAATTAGAATGCTACAGGAGGGGCTGGGGAGATGGCTCAGTGGACTGAGTGCTTCTCTGGCAAGCGCAAGGGCCTAAGTTCAATCCCTGGTTCCGCAAAAAAAATATGTAAATAAATAAATAAAAGAAATGTTATAGGAGATTGAAACAGTTCATGGGCCGGGGAGCTAGTTCAGTGGCATAAAGTGCCTGCCTGGCAAGATCAAGGACCCAAGTTCGATCCCCACACCAAGGGGAAAAAAAACCCATTCACACGTTGGGCGTGGTGTGCACACCTGTCACTTCAGCACTTGGAGGCTGAGGCAGGAAGAGCTCTGGGAGTTTAAGGTCCTTTCTCAAAAAAGCCAACATCAGCAACAAAAACAGGTCTTTATCAACCCCTGGAGACAGGGGTGGAAGGGCAGAGGGGCCAGGCAGTCTCTGGGGCCAGGCCCAAGGACAAGGTCAGCCAGAGGAGGAGGCCACGGGGAAGGCAGGACACAGGACACAGAGGGAGGGCTCACCTGAGGAGGTCCATGCCCAGCAGGGCCTCCCCGTCCTGGACCGGCTCCTTGGTCCACACGGCCTCATTGCCAATGCAGACCCCATGCTCGTTGGCACCCATCTCGGCCCCCCACAGCCAAGAGGGGCGGCTCAGAACCACCGCGTGGGTCTTGGGCACCTGATCCACCTCGATGTAGGTGCACTGGAGAGAAAGGAAAAGGCTGCTCACAGAGGGGCAGTGCCTGCCTACTCCAGGCCTGAGATTGAACTCAGGCCCTTGCACTTGCCAGGGAAGCATTTATTCTACTGAGCCACCTCCCTGGCCCCTCTGCTGGTCACTTTCCACCCACGGTCTTAGTCCCATTTTACAGATGAGGAAGCTGAGGCCACAGAGGCTAAACAACAGGCTCCAGCCTCAGGCTGGAAGACTCGAAGCAAGTGCATAGCACGCTTTTCTCTCCAGGAGGAGCTCTCCAAAGCTAGGTGCAGAGAAAGAAGGTCTCCCCGGCCCACCTGCAGCCGGCTCCCAGGGGCATGCGTGCCTGCAGGCACAAACACCACCTCCTGCACCTCGTCTCGTGGTCGGTCTGAGTTCTTGGCAAAAATCACCGCTGGGATGGCAGACGCCGGGGGCAGAGAGACAAAGCAGTCGCAGGAACAAGGGCTGTCAGCGGTCATCAATGCCATCTGTAGAGAGGTAGAGGCCTGATCGTGTCCCACTAGCCCGGCTCAAGAGGCCCAAGCTCCTGAGCACGCCGAGAGAATGGTCCCCCTCCGTCCGCCCCTTTTCACGTCCCCAGCACCGTGCGCCCCTCGCCCTTCCTGCCTCCAAGACCCCCAGTGCAGGTGCCACCTTCTCCGTCTCACGTTAGCTTTGCCCCATTGGACAGAAGCTGCCAGATGACCAGGAAGCACCTTTGGCCCCGGAGGAGGAGCCGGGACAAAACATGTGCCGTTCCGCCGATTGCCACCAGGGCGCGCTAACACCACTTCTTGGAGATCCAAGTGCTTTCCAAATCCGGCCTGGTTCCTTGTCCCGTTTCCCGGGGCTCCCTTTTTAGGCCTGATAAAAGCCGGTGGAAATCTACAAGCTCACCCGATGGGGTCATGGGCACTTATAGGGGGGATTGGTAAAACAGCAAAGGCCCCTGGGGCATCGGAAGATTAAGAACCTCAGGTCTTTGAAGTCTGTCCTGAATTCCAAAGACACAGTCCCTTGTTTTACCACAAACCAGGGGGCGTAACAGTGCATTTAAAAAGTCACTAGAGGGGCTGGTGAGATGGCTCAGTGGTCTAAAGCACCTACTTAGAACAA